ATTGTTCTTATACTTTTTTTAGACTTAATAAATTGTTATACAAAATCTTATGTGATCCTCGCTCCTAATTGGTATTTTAAAATTTTAATTATTAGCTCAAGCCACTGCTCATACTTTTAAGCATTTTTACAAACATTTCAAAGGCATTCATCAAAGTTTAATTTATAATAAGTCCTCAAAAATTTAATCAACTTCCAATAGCAATGTTAGCATCATCAAAAATACAAAGCATCTAAAATTAAATCCCAATCAACACTTAAATCACATTTGGCAGCAAATAAAATTAGCAATTTCAACTAAAAATTCTTGTAGTCATTCAACAAGCTTCCTTCCTCACTACTTTAGATAACAAAGAAACTCAATTTTCCTCTTCTCCTGCCACCAACCAGCGGAACCAAGTAAAACAAAATTCCGACTCCCATCTTCAACAGCCACAACACGCCAGACCACCAGAAAAACAGAAGAAGAAGAAGAAGCAATTACTCACTTCCTAAGCACCAGCCCGTTGGAGGAAGATGGAAGGAACAAGATTCAGTATGCCCAAACTCCCTGGTCACCCACGTACACCACACCAGTACCGAGGAAAGAAAGAGACAGAGGAGCATGAAACAGCTCTGTCAGCGCGCAACAGCGAAGAAACAGAGAAGAGATTTAGCTACAGCCCTTAACAGGAACTGACGAACAGCAGCGGGAAAGGAGTGGATGAACTGCCGGCGGCGAGGGGAAGAACAAGTCAAAGGTGGGAAGGACGAGTTCGACAATGAAGAGAGAAGAGAAGCAGAATGTCAGTGAGGAAAATGAGGAATGGGAATGCTCTGTTTCATTTCACACGAAGAGATAAAAATCTGATTAAAAGGGTAATTGCAAAAGTTACAAGAAAAGTTATGAGGAAAATTACAAGAAAGGCATGAGAAAAATTACGAAAAAGACACAAAATTTTTTATAATTTAAGACAAAATAAAACAATTTTTCTTAGTAGAATTTAAATTATGAACCTTCAAGAAAATTACTAGCATAAGTTTCACTAAACTATCACTTTTTACTTACTATGGAGCTTATTTAAATAAAATATTCATTGAAAAAAATTTATTTAATTTAAAATTTAGGGTCATTATACTAGCTACAGTAACGGACGTTTAAAAGGTGAGAGCAATATTGTTTCGATTTGATTAGTTTAGGGACAATATTGCTATGATGAATAATTTTGGGGCAACATTATTCCTCCGATAATAGTTTAAGGGCAAAATTACATCTTAACCATTCAAGAAATTATATTTATTTGAATATTATTGAAATCAAATAAATTTAAGATTTAATTTTTGATTTTTTTAAAAAAAGCTGATTAATAGTAAATAAATTATACGTATAAAAATATATATTATGTGCAAACGAAATGAGGGGAAAAGATAAGATAAAAAAGAAAGAAGAAAATAAATAAATAATAATAACAATAGCATTTTTTCTAAAAAAAACAGAGAGAAACTAAAACTTGAAATATATATATATATATATATATATGTATATAACCAACGTAACAGTGGACATGTTATGTCGCCCACCATTGGTTTGGCAATATGTTCAAGGACATGTAACCCTCGTTCACCAGCCGCAGTATCTTTTGTGTGTGTGTGGGTGTGAGAGAGAGAGAGAGAGAGCACATTGCAGCCTAGGAATATTTTTTGTTTACATTAATAAAAAATAATCAACTTTTATTTAAGTGTCAGCTAAATGATTAATATTTAAAGGATTTGATGGATTGATCACTTTTGTACCAATTTCAATAATATTATGGATATTTTAATCCATATTAGCGAAGACTAATTTGTGGTAAACACAATCAGCAGTATAGTCAATATTTAACATCGAAAACTAATGATGTTAAGGCAAAGTTAACGGTTTGATCATTTTTACACTAATTTTGATAACGTTATAGATATTTTTATCCTTTTTTCTCACTTTAAGCTACTGGATGCTCTTGGTTGACCACTTGAAGGGTATTTTTGCACCTTAACCTTATATATTTATACTGAATTATAATAATTGGATAGATAATGAAGACATAAACCTAAATAATAGAAGGAATATATATATATATATATATATATGAGTTTGGAAAGAATGGTGAATGAGATATTGTTTTCTCTTCTAAATACAAAATAAGTTTTATTCTACTAAGTGTGGTAAGTTACATGGATGTTTCCTTCTATAAACAAACTTAACTAATGATTAGGAACAGAATTGGGAGAATGATGCTGAATTTAATTTTGAGACAAAAAGCATAGTTTGATACTTGAGACAAAAAGGCATTTTAAGATCATAGGGAACGAGGTGATTTAGCTTTCGTGGTAAAGAGATCCAATATGATGGATGCGATGCCCATAACAATGGAATTAAGATCGAAACAAGCAACACAATGGCTAGAAATTCGAGCAGTGGACCAAAAGAATGACGATGGAAAGGTAAGGCTCTCCGCTTTGAAGTTTAAATTCTACGATCAAAATCAATGCATAGAGCCACAGATTGACAAAAATGGCTGCCATAATGGATATTTCTTTTTGGGTTGGTATTCAAGTTGAAGGTATGAATGGAATCCATACCGAAACATAGTGATCAGAAACATTATTGCAACGTGAGTTGCTCCCTAGATGAATGGAATCCAATAAGCACATTGTACATCCGTTGGTGTAACTGCTTATTGAATTAGCTTTGATGTTATTAGTGACAACTGCAATAGTTAAAAGGGCTTTCTCTATTATGAATATCATCAAAAATTAAAAGCAAAACCGCATGAGAGATAAACTGTTAAATGATTATTTGGTTACTTACATAGAGAAAGAAATTTTTGATAGTGTTGAAAGTAAAAAAATTATTTAACATCATCAAAATATGAAACCTCATCATAACAAAAGTTTATCAAAAAAAAAATTTAGAGAGAAAACTTATGATGTATATTCAATTTTTTTATAATATATGATGATGTATCTTTTGTATTACAAGTGTGACTTTATAAATGTAAATATATGATGTCCACACAACTAAAAATTTCTGGATCCGTCACCGGGGGGGAGTGGAACGCGAACGTGCTTGTTAATTTGTAAAATGCTTCATTCTTTTTTTTTTTTTTAAGCAAAACAAATGTCAAGTGGATCGGATCCTCGCCGTTTCCGCCCTTCAGGACGACCCATGTCACGTCAACTTAAAACAAATACATGTTCCGTGGCTTCTTGTGTTTTTAACGGAAAACAGGCACTTCTATTAATGAAAGACAAAATTATGAAAAAATTTCAACAAAAACCCTTTGACCATAGATAATTAAAAAGAGAACCCCAAAATCCTAAATCATCACTGCAGTTCAGGGACTCATAATTGAAATTAAGTAGAGAGTACAATAATTAAATTAACTTTATTGCAGTTGTTAATTCGTTTCTCTACTGTGACATGTTCGATCATTTCCATACAAAATATGAGAAGTAGGAAAATAGACAAGTTATAATAGGACAATTAATGATTGAAATAGGCTTAATTTTATTATTTTACAATCTCAATTTTAATTTCAATTTAAAGCCCTTGAATTGCAGTTAAGATTTAGAATTTTGAGTTCTTTTTTGAATTAGATCAAGGGGTTTTTATTAATTTTTTTTTTTCAAAAATCATTGCACACACTAAACAACATAGCCTAGAAGCATTAATGCGGATGTGACGGGACGGAAGGTAGGGAAACGGATGACAAAGAAGACTGAGAGTCAGAGAAGGTTACGAGAAATTTTTTTTTTTTTTTCTTGTTTTCTATTTTGATTTCTACTCTCATTCTTATTCTAATCTGCAATGGTTTTTTTTTTTTTTCCCAGTTATTTCTTCTTCTAGATAAGCTTCTTTTCCTAGGATTATTATGGTACGCAGATCTTTGAATAACATTGTTCGTTTTGTTTTCATACAAAACTAGTGTTTGGTACCCGTGCGTTGCACGGGCAATTTCATGAACAAAAATTAACACCATTATGTGGCTGTATTAATTTTTTATATCATCAAAATCTGCCATATCATATTAACTATTAGTCGAAATAATCATTCATAACATTCGATTAAATAAAATTCAATTTTTATTATATGAATATATTAAGTAAAATAACCAAAACTAAAGGATAGATCAATTAATAACACAACACATCATTATCTGCTTTTTGGAAACGACAACATTCATTTAAAATTAATTAAATTTATTTGAGTTATACTTATTAAAACATTCATAAAAGTAACTCAATCTTTTAAAGATATTGCTAGACAACATTGAAAATGAGAGTCTCTGTTGAGGTTATTTTTAATTATTTTTTTGAATTCGATTTAATGTGTTGTGATGTTGAGTCATGAAATAAATGAATATCACATAAATTATACGATGCACTTCATTGTAATATATATTCTAATATGAAGATGCATACAATTAACGTAATAGTAATGTCATGTTGGTTTTTTATTCTAGACATAAAAGCATAATAAAAATCATTCAAGACACTTGTGGTAATTTTCAAAAAAGGTCATTAAAACACTATTTCCTAACAGGAGGTGAAATAATTATTACGAACAGTAACTGTAAGTTTTGTGAAGGGATTTTTTAAATTTCATTTGAATTGACAAGTCAAATTTGAGCCGGTGAAAAATTATCACCGAAGATACTGCCAAAATAAAAGAGGAGGATCACCCAAACTCATTACAATATTCACCAGGAATACAATAATATCAGCACTGTATATACTTATATTCAATCACAAAAATCTTACACTTAATGATAGAATAAACATCAGGACAAAAAAAAAAAGAGGATAGAATAAATATCACCATAAATATCTAAATCATATTGCACTTACAATGCTAATGAAAATGAAGGAATTAAAATAAAAATAAGTTCTTTAAATATAAAGAAGGAAAATTAAATAGATAGATTATTAATAAAGAAATGATATTACAGAAAATAACACTAAATTAACTTTTCTAATCACCAATCTTTGTTTAAACTTCATTTAAATAACAACTTGTCTAATCAATGAACACTACTCCAGGAAAGACGAAATCATAACTACTTATATTAAATGGATTAAATCCCCATGTAAAAATCGATGTGGCACGTGCATTTTGCCTACATAAAGTAAAAGATTATCACAAACATTAAAAGTTTACATGAATTATTTAAAAAAAAAAGTGTACATGAATTTCCAAAAAAAAAAAACGAAATCATTTTAATTTAAATACATTAAGCTTAACATCATGGCTAATATAAACTTTTAGCAAATAAGCCCTCCCCGCTTAAACTCCATCTCCTTCTGGTAATTAAAAAAAAAAAAAATCTCCTTAAATGGTTGATCTCAAAAAACTCTGATGGCACAACAAAAGTTGTAAAGCACAATGGTACCTGTAAGAGGCAATAGATCACCAAAACTTAATATGTAAAATTACCGAAATCTGTCTTGAAAAACTGATTAAAAGGAATCAAAAATGCATTTTTCAATTTTAGTCCAGACGTTAAGTTTTTATTGAAAAATCTGATCGCAAAAAAATTATCTCAAGTTTTTCTTGTTCCCAAGAAACATTATAAGGTTAATGCTTGGTCGTTGCCCGTAAGTAACGCGCTGCATGGCTCGAGTACAGTGATAAGTGAGTTAAAGCCGCTGCATCAACACCCGGATGTAGTGTTAAATGAGCAAGGGCTACCGCGTCATTCTGGACGTGCACAGCTAAAGAGGTTAGCCCATGAGAGCAAAATTAGATTTGATACTTGAAATGTTGGATCATTGAATTGTAAATCTGTAGAGGTTGTAAGGGTTATGATTCAAAGAAAAATCAATATCCTTTGCCTGCAAGAAATAAAATGGCGTGGAGAAGAAGCTAAGAATATTCAAGGTTTCAAACTTTGGTATACAGAAAAAGTAAGCGCACGCAATGGAATAGGCATCATTATAAATAAGGAGTGGAAGAAGAACCTTGTAGAAGTTAGCAGAATTGGAGACAGAATTATTTCTTTAAAAATAATAATTGGACGTGAAATTGTTAATATTGTTAGCGCTTATGCGCCGCAAGTCGGGACAGAAGCCAGTCTTAAGGAACTATTTTGGGAGGATTTGAAGGGGTTGATTCAACACATACCACAGATTGAAAAGATTTTTATTGATGGAGACTTTAATGGGTATTTCGGGAGGGAGGCTAGTCAGTATGTGAGGGTGCATGGTGGTTTTGGTTTTGGAAAGCGAAATAATGAAGGACAAACTCTTCTTGATCTCTCATTGGCGTATGATTTTAAGATTGCTAACACTTATTTCAAGAAGAGAGATGAGCATCTCATCACTCACAAAAGTGGAGCCTCAAAATCACAAATTGATTTTCTTTTGGTTAGAAACACAGATAGAAGACTTTGTAAAAATTGTAAGGTGATCCCCGGAGATGCTGTAACGACACAACATAGGGTCCTAGTCCTTGATGTGTGTATTATGAGTAAAATTCAAAAACGTCAACAAGTAGTAGCATCAAGGATTAGGTGGTGACAATTAAAAGGTGAGAAGCAAGATATTTTCAAGCGCAATCTTTTGGACAAAGAAATTTGGGAATCTCAGGAAAGTGCTAACATCATGTGGGAGGATATGGCTAAAAAGATACGGGAGGTTGCAAAAGTAATTTTGGGAGAATCAAAAGGTTCTGGTCCGAGAGATAAGGAGACTTGGTGGTGGAATAATAGTGTACAGGACAAAATCAAGTATAAGAAGAACTGTTTTAAAGCCATACATTTATGTAACAATGAGGAAAATTGGGAGAGGTACCGTATGGCTAAGAAGGAAACTAAGAGAGCTGTGGGTGAAGCTCGTTCTAAAGCTTTTGAAGAATTTTATAAGAGCCTTGAGACGAAGGAAGGAGAACGAAACATTTATAAGATTGCCAAGAGTAGGGAAAGAAAATCAAGAGATCTAGAACAGATAAGGTGTATTAAGGATGAAGAGGGAAGAATTTTAGTTACAGATGATGAAATTAAAAATAGATGGAAGACTTACTTTTCCAAACTTTTCAATGATGAAGAAGGTTCATCTAGTAACTTGAAGGATTTAGTAACTGGTGAAGGAGAACAAAATTTGTCATTCTATCGAATAATACATGATAAGGAAGTAAGGGAAGCTCTTAAGAAAATGGCAAATGGTAGAGTGAACGGACCTGATTGTATATCTATCGAAGCGTGGAAATGTTTAGGTGAAGAAGGGGTGAGATGGTTAACTAAGTTATTTAATGTGATTTTACGGTCCAAGAAAATGCCTAATGAATGAAAGAGAAGTACATTAATTCCTATTTATAAAAATAAAGAAGATATTCAGAATTGTACTAACTATAGAGACATTAAACTCATGAGCCACACCATGAAATTGTGGGAGAAAGTAATTGAGCACAGGTTGAGATTGAAGACAAGTATTTCTGAGAATCAATTTGGTTTTATGCCAGGTAGATCAATTACAGAAGCGATTTATCTACTAAGGGAATTAATGTAAAAGTATCATTGTAAAAATAAAGATTTACACATGGTTTTTATTGATTTGGAAAAAGCTTATGACTGTATACCAAGAGAAGTGCTTTGGAAAGCATTGAAAAAAAAGGGAGTACGGATTGTTTATATTAAAGCCATACAAAATATGTATGAGGGGGTAAAAACTAGTATAAGAACGTCTAGCGGTCAAACAAAGAATTTTTCTATAAAGATTGGACTTCATCAGGGATCATCTCTGAGTCCTTATCTGTTCAACTTGATCCTAAATGTTTTGACGGAACATATTCAAGAAGAAATTTCCAAATGTATGCTCTTCGCGGATGATATAGTTCTTATAGCAGAGACAAGAGAAGAGGTTAATTGCAAACTTGAGTTATGGAGGAGAACATTAGAGTCGAAAGGTTTCCGTCTAAGTAGGAGTAAGACGGAATATTTATATTGTAAATTTGATAAGAGACTATTTGACAATAATTTGGAAGTGAAATTGGGAGATCAAATTATACCTCAAGTGGAAAAGTTAAGATATTTGGGAGCCATTATTCAAAATGATGGTGAAATTAGTGAAGATATTTCACATAGGATTCAAGCTGGGTGGTTTAATTGGAGAAAAGCTAAAGGAGTTATTTGCGACCGTAAGATGCCTAATAAACTTAAAGGAAAGTTTTATCGCACTGCTATCAGACCAGCAATGTTATATAGTAGTGAATGCTGAGCTCTAACGGGACAATAAGAGCATAAAATTGGAGTAGCAGAGATGAGAATGTTACGATGGATGTGCGGACATACACGTAAGATAAAATTCGAAATGAGCACATACGCGAAAAAGTGAGGGTAGCACCTATTGAGGAAAAAATGGTAAAAAATTGGTTGAGATGATTTGGACATGTACAAAGAAGACCAAGGGAGGCACCAGTGAGAAGAGTAGAACATATAACTTTGAGTCCGATTAAGAGGGGTAGAGGAAGGCCTAAGAGAACACTCTTAGAAGTTGTTGAACGTGATCTCTTAATTAATAATATTCCTAGAAGCTTGATAAATGATAGAGCACAATGACGTCTTACAATCCATATAGCCGACCCCACCTAGTGGGATAAAAGCTTGTTGTTATTGTTGTTGTTGTTGTTGTTGTTGTTTTCTTGTTCCCAAGAGAAAGTGGCATCTAACGTAGACTTCATTTGAGGCCATAGCACCTAAAGTTCAACAACAGCATTTCAATCACACTTAAGGCCTTCCACCTCCAAAAAAACAATTGAAGCCATAAGTTTTAAGATAGCTAAACCTCCTCTTCCCACTAAAGCAAGCAATTACTTCTAAAATGCAGTAACATAAATGATGTGACGTCGCTGACCTTAGATGCTCGTTTCTCAACTGCAATTTTGAGACACCACATAACTCTTTGCTTTTCTGCATTTGATTTCACAAAGGGCCCACCTATACGCGTGTAAATAACTAATCAGTTCAACACTTACCTGTTTCTCTATCCCAGCTCCAAAAAGTACGCAATAAAAATATATTACATGTTTGCTATCATTAGAAAACAAAAACCTACTTCTAAAATAACTTTAACGCATGCCACCTAAAGAAGAGTAAGATCATAAAACAGAACAAAGCAACAGTTTGTTTCTTTCTCCATCTCTTGTTTATATGCCTTGCTTGCTTCCTACTGTAACGACTCTTTCTTCTGAGGGGCCCATTTTTGTTGTCTTCCCTCTTCATATTAATTAAAAGTAATTAAAACTCCCTTTCCTTAATAAGAAAGAAAACCGGATTTATCAAAATAACTCCCCACACTAATTCTCTCAAATAACATGTAATATTGCCTTATCATTAGCAAACATTAAAGCTCTCGTAGTTTTATATTCCTAACCTATGCAGAGGTTAACTCATACCACTGTCCACAAAAGTTGTACCTCCTGGTCAAGCACCAGAGTTCATAACCCTCAAAACTTGTTCCAAGGAGCTATCTCATCCCATACCAATTCATTATTTTTTTTCACATATCTAATCATACAAAATCAATCAGATTACTGGGGTGTATCGGCTGCCCTCCCACATCCCCAGGGAAAAAGATGTTGTGCTTATGAGAAGAATTTGATAATAACATACTGTCACACTCACACATCAAAACAAACATACATGACTTAACCCAATAATAATATTGCCCATGCATATAAACTAACCTACAGTTGTTCTTGAAGAGCCTTTACTTTTGCTTCTACACCATTCAATGCTTTGACCACTCTAAGTATTTAATATAAAACATAAATTTTACAACCATTTGAGCATTAACATTTTCTATAAAAGGATGCTAGCCATCAAATTGTTACCAACCTTGAGATTCTGGAGATGGAATAGGACAGCATTCCACAATTCATCAGTCAATTTGCAATAGAAATCTACAAAATCAGGTGGCTTTAATTTTGTTTTCGACTGCAGAGGAAATTCCTTGTGATCTATAACAGATCCCTGATATTTGCTCTTTGCTTTGCAAAAGGTAGCCTTAAATTCCCATGATTCATCCTCAAAATAATTAGCACCATTAATCAAATCAGGTTTCAAAACTATAGGTAAAGATTGCAGTCCATTTTCACTGACTTGTGGTTCATGATTAGAATGAGTGTTCTTTGCAGATTGAAGGCTTCTAGTTATACGTGAAGCATCATTAAAGGTACTTGAATTGCATTCATTTCAAAATTAACCTGAAAGATAACATACTTCCCCTTAAGAAATCAATTGTAGAAAAGTTATAAGTAACAAATCAATTGTATTCTCTTAACAATATTAACAAATATTCAACTGGTCTTTTTACCTACATTCTTTTAATTGCTATAATTCTCTTAACAGCTGTTATAAGTAACAAATCGATTGTATTCTCTGAACAATATTTAACTGTTGAAAGTATTGAACATCATTAACAAATAAAATTCAGTATCATATTTAATAAATCAGAAATATTGACCTCCAATGGAATAAATTCAAGCATTATTAATGAGAACATGTAGGGGCCAGAAGCATGCGTTCCATGCATCAGCAACCTTCACAACAGAGTCCAATGAGAGAAGATTTATCAAGAATACCATAGCTATAATAAGTAATAAAACAACAACAAAGTTAAATCAGAATAATAAATCAACTGGAACTCAACTGTATACTGTGATAAAGATAATGACTTAGACTTGAGCTTTATGTATTAGCAACCAAAGACATTGCCTTAGTAAATAATTGAAGCTTCTTCTAAGTTGCTTGTGGCTTATAACAGCTAAAGAGAAAACCAAAAAAGCTAAAAACAGAAACAGGACACTTCCAACCTGCAAGAGAAAACAACTTACTCAAATGTCATGTATTTGTAGCTAGAATAGGTGGGATTGTCCACCCACAACAACCTAGTCCAAGGTCCAACAGCAAAGGCCACCCCCTCTAGATAACTTGTATTTCCTTGACTGTGCATGCAAGCATTGAAACCACATCATTAATGAAACCTACGCTTCTTGGAATGAATCCAGCAACATTTTTTTTTCATAATCCATTTATTCACAGGAACAAAAATATCCAAAAAGCTGAAAAATCACACACACTTTCACTATGACTCCAGACTTTGAAATTACTTCAGACAATCACCTATCTAAACTATCATAGAGATCATCTCCAACAACAATTTCTCCACCTGCATTGAGATTATATCAGTAAATGACAATAAAAGCAGTCATTTCAGCATACATAATCTCCAATGAAAAATATGAAGATACACACAAGTCATCTATGTTATATTTATAAAATGAAAATAAAATTATATATATTACAGTATATGCAAAGTTTATTGGGAAAATGTACGCATTCACAACCACTTTAATATTATAATCTCATAAATAGATACAGACTAAGATTTTATACAAGTCACAAGAGCTAGATAAAGAGAAAAGAGAAGCAAAATAATTATTTGTCAAAGAACTCTTATCAAACTCTCAAGTATTTCTAAAAAGGTTGGTAATCCAGGCTTCTTTCCAAAGCACAATACATATTTGATTCTAGTAACATATATTTATTACTTATGCTGAATTGCCTTACAATTCCAATATTTATTACCTGCATTTTCCCCTAAATGTTGCTTTACATTTTAATAATTTATGAATTAAACCAGAAGAGAGGATTCTTCTATTGGCTTTGGAGAACCAGTTCGTGCCAATATGAGAACCAGTGGAGTGAAAGATGTTGATGTAACATCATCTTTACTTGGGTCAGTGAGAATTGACCTTATTTAAATAAAAAGGTTCCTTTTGTCTTCTAGTTCTTTAATAGCAAGAAGCTATAGGCAATTGCAGCTACCAAATCATGTACTCCAATGATACTGTCCACTTAATTCACCCCCAGCCCCAAAGAAAATGTACAAGTAGCAATACGATTATGTTAACCTTCTGCTTGAGTCTAATAGATGCATTAGCAATTTTTAGGTAGAAAGTTCTCATCTAATTGCCTACAGTCTCATACCAGAGCTTATTGGACGATTCCCAATCTTAGTGAGCTTGTCAGCTTTAACTGAAGGCCAACTTCTGCAGGCATTACTTCATTTTAATATCCTCTATCATCCTATCTTAGCCATTTCTATTATCTTTTAACGTTAAGAGCTTCTGTGATGAGTTCATCCAGTCATTTCTAGAGGCATTAGTTTATATGATATGGTTATCTCCTTTATATATCAATGTATTTTAGGCTTCAGCTATCTTAAATTGGATCTAAAAATGAACCCTTTTCTTTGCCAGAGTTTAGATGATGAAATCTGAAAAAGAAAGGAAAAGGTGGTCATCTCACATGTGCACGCACATGGATGATAGTTAATTTTTGAAAGAAAAGGAAGAAATTTTTTGATAAGGATGAAAAGGTCCAATAATGGATTCTAAAGGTATCAAGTTTTTAAATATTGAATTTGTGGATGCTGTAAGCAGTATGACATTTATATAAGTTTAGACTTTTTTTTCAAGTTGGGCACTTAACCTTAGATTTAAAGTGTACCTGACAGCTGAGGAAAGAGTTCAGGTTCTGTATGTTTATGCTAAGATATCTCACGTAATGGCACAAATATCTTGGTTTTTCGGGTTCCCCCAGAACCACAAAATGCTCTTGGTAAGCAGAACGAGAAATTATTTGGCATGAATAATGTAACCACAACTCTATTCACCCATTGTCCCTACTCCTTAGTCACTAAATCACCTCATGACCAGATCCAGATAAACCGACTGAATATTTATTTCCTTCTAAACTAATTTTCAAAAAGAAGCTATGCAAATTCCTTGATCTAAAATGCATACCTCACCAAGTCTTCTATCTTTCTTTGCTCCACGAAAATGTTTCATCAAAAAGCAAAGGATAATCTGCAAGAAATAAATGTCCAGAACAGAATATTAACCATAGCATGTTAACTACTGAGAAATGAGTGTGAGATTCAGATAAATCAACCCACATAGGCAAATAAAGAAGAAGAAGAAAATAGTTGGGATTATTTCGGGGAGAAAAAGAAGCGGGTCGAAGAAGAAACACGAAGAAATGAAAGATGGAAGCCGACTGAAAAAGAAAAGAACAACAAAGTCCCAAAAATCAAACCACCAACAACAGAAAACCCAAAATCAACTCTTTATACACACAAGTCAATTATTAGATTAGTGAATTACGAAAAGAGAAAAACTCAGAGCTCTGATGAGAATCACCGTCACGCGTGATGAATGTGGGCACAATCAGATGGTTGAGAGTCAGTCTCAGAGGAGATGGAAGCTTCGTCAACATCGCCGTTATCGACGGTGCTGAGGTTGATACAAGAGCATCGTTCTAAGGAAGCGAAGAAAGAGTAGGCCACACTGGTGAGGACATTAGACTGAGGGTAGACGACACAGGTGAGGACGAATCCACCGTCGATGTGGTCGTCCTCCTGAAAACTGCCTTTGGACTGGTCGACATTGCCTTCCACCACCTTGCCGGAGCAGGAAAAGCACGATCCGGCCTGGCAAGAGCCCCAAAGGTCGATTCCGAGATCCTCAACCTTGTGCAGAATGTAGACGTCGTCGGGGCAATCAAACTCTTGGAGTCTGCCAGGCGTTAGACATTGAAGAAGGAAGAAGACCAAAGAAGGAACTGGAATGGAAGGATCGAGAAACCGAATAGTAGGAGACATTGAAGAATAACGGGACTCTCATCAGAACTGTGAGAGGGCAATGATGAAGGAGAAGCTTGATCAGCTGGTCAAAAAGGGCAGCTGAGCAATGGGACCACATCAGTTAGGGAATATTCTAAACACGCATGGGATTGGGGAACAACAGTGACAAATTGACGGGCTTGAAGTATTGTTAGAGTCTTTTTTTTTTTTTTTTGGCCTGAATTGTTAGATTCTCATTCTATCTCAATTCATGAGGCATTGTTTTTAAATCAAATTTATTCAATATAATTTACAATCTTAACCTTTTTATAAATTTTCAAGCATAACTTTCATTAATAATAGAAAGAGGGAAAGAAATTTATTTAAGGAGTTAAATAATCAGAGATAATATTAAAATAATTATCATAAAGTACTTCAAAAATATAATTATCATAAATGTCTAATGCGTTGGAGCGAAATTATAAGTATCCTCCTTTCCCAGTTACCCTCCTATTCTTTTGTCCCTTGGACCTAGCGAAGTTCCTCCCTTTATATATACACTCCGCGTCTCACTTTTTGAAGCACATTTTCCTCTGCGCGGGAAAGAAATTTATTCAAGGAGTTAAATAATCAGAGATAATATTAAAATAATTATCATAAAGTAATTCAAAAATATAATTATCATAAATGTCTAATGCTTTGGAATGAAATTATAAGTATCCTCCTCTCCCAGTTACCCTTCTATTCTTTTGGCTTTTGGACCGAGCGTCTTTTGGACGGATCGTCTCTTGGACCTATAAATATACACTCCGCGTGTCACTTTCTGAATCACATTTTCCTCTGCTTCTCTCTCCATCAGCTTCACCTCTCTCCATCTCCATCATCATCAATCCCTCGTTTCTGACAACTTAAATCCATGTCAATGCCTCAACCTCCCGCCGGCCATGTTCAAGCCAACCACCACCGCGCTGTGGAGTTGGAGGCCACTGCACCCAGCTCCGACATCCCTAAGACCGATCCCCTCCGTCAATCCCTGCGAGACAGTGATGTGCTCCAACCCCCTCTCACTCAGCTCCATCGTTCTCAGGACACCTCTTCCTCAATCCGTGACTGTGCTCAAGAAGACTACAGCCAGGGACCTGGGGCCAACGATCCAAATGGCACCGGCACTACCCATCACGACATGCCCGCAACTCAAAGTTCTACGACGAGGTACTGTATTCTACTCTTTTGTTCCTGTTTGGAAGTCGGGAATCCAACAAATTAACCCTTGCCAGCCCCTTAGGGTATGTTTGGTTTAGGTGAAAAAATTTCCCCTCACCTATTCTTCCTTCCAAAACCTCCTCCTTCCAAATTGGAAAGAATCTCTCCTCCCCTCCTCTCAAATCAAATAGACCTTGATGCCTATTTGGGTAATCTCTCGAATCAATTTTAAAAGTCAAAATTATAATTTTATAAAAATATATTCAAACACTCTAGTTATATATTAAAATTAATTATGTACCTAAAACTATGTTTACTTAAAATTATCGAAACACTTTTATACATGAAATTAATTATGAGTCCAAAATCATAATTATCCCATAAATTATTATTACCTCATTTTCAATTTAACTTTTTAATTATACATTTCTAAAAATTATACACACTATTTTACAAATCATACTTTTGGGTTCAAAATTGATTTTCGTGTTTTGATATTTTTAAAAAAATCATCATTTTAGATGTATAATTAATTTTGTTATATATAATGAGTGTTGACCTATTTTTAAAAAAACCATGCATTTAAATTCATAATTAATTTTGATATGTATGAGAGGTGTTTGGATATATTTTTATAAAATCATAATTTTAGCCTTTAGAATTGATTAATTTGACTATCCAAACTTGCACTTTATTGTTTCCTTATTTGGATTCATTCATAACTTCTGTTGCAACTTATACATGACCATACTTTTTTTTTTTTTTGAAGCTTAGCTTGCTATGTTATTCTTTTTTTTTTTTTAATTACATACAGGTCCTCCAGGAAGGGACTTCACGCTGCCATATTGTTTCTAATAACTACCTTCAACTTGAATACCAACACAAAAAGACATCTATATTTGATGATCATCCCACCATTATGGCAGTCATTTTTGTCAGCCTATGCCTCTATGCTGTGGCCTCTATGGCAGAATTTATACTTCAAAGTAGAGAGCCTCACCTTTCCATGATCATGACCTTTGGTCCAACGTTCGGATTTCTTGTGATTGTGCTGCTTGTTTGGATGTTAATTCCATTGTTGGGCATCGTCGCATCCATCATATTGAGTCTCTTTACAATGAAAACTGCAATCACCTAGTTCCCAATGACTGGCAGGCATTCTCAAGTATCAGACAATACTTTGTCTCAGAACCAAAGTCAACCTTTGGACCAAATAGTGTGAACTTGATCATACGTGCAATCTGAAATAGAATATACCATTCTTCTTCCAATTTCTTTCCTAATCATTAATCAATGATTACGTTATTTATAGGAGGAAACAATATCTCACATATATATATGGTCCATGTATCAATTACCATTCTTTTTGAATTCTGCATATATCCCTTATATTATCTTGGTTTATGTATTCATCATCTTTCCAGTTAATATATAATTCTTTGTTTAGTTTTGGCTAATGTTGTATTTGTTATGAACAGCAAGGTCCAAAATGCAATCTATACTGTATTACCAACAATCATAATTAATGAATTCATGATTAAAAGTTAGTTATGAGAAACGTGAAACTTATTATGGACTTCCCTTTTTAATTTTATTTGTTGATTGTTGATTTTGGGTATATTGTTACCAAGTCTCATTAAAGTTAGTTTTCTTGGTGAATTATTAAAGTTCATTTTATTGGTGCACATATATAAATTATTAACAGTATCAATGTCAATAAGATATGATTAACAATACACTTGAGATGCTAGCTGTGGCCTAGACCAATCTCAATTTTGAAGCAGGACGGATCCATGTATAACCAATGGTTTGGAGTGGGGGAGCCAAAAAATTTTCTTCTTTCAGCAAAATTATGTATATTCTTAATTTGTCAAAATTTAATATGTAATTTTAGTATGTCGTCAAAAGTAATTTTATAATATAACATTTGTTATAATAAATCATATGTAGTAATATAAAAACAAAAAGAGTCAACAAATCTTTCTTTATTTAATTTGTTGATTGAACAACTTGCAAATGGATAATAACATCACCAAAACGTATTTAGGATCACAGCAAAATGAAAGGACCTACTTATGCCTTTTTCTTTTTATAAATTGTATGATAGTTTTTTTGGTCTGAAATAGTACATGATTGCTTTACAGAAGTGCATAGTGCAGCTCGTATTTATGAGGTCTGGAGGCAATAAGGTTGTTTTACCTTCAGGAGAGCACTTAAAGAAAGAGTAGGTTTTATTTGGATGTAAACTTTTTCTATTTGAAATGTAGTTTTGGCAGACCATCCAGAAAAATGTCATTTTTTTTTTGGAGGGTGTATGGTAACTAAAGTTTCTTCCGTAAAAGTAATTCTGGGTAGCTTTTAACTTTTGAAATGTGAATTGGAACTGATTTCAATTTATTCTCATATTTTCCAAATAATTTTTAGTCTATTAGACAAATTTTTTAGAAAAATATTTAAATTAACTTTTGACAAGTGGAAGTTTGGGGGAAAAAAGAGAAGCTCTGCTAAACTGAAATTGAACCAAACTCACACTAAGATGTATACAAACGAGAAGAGAACAGTACATATTTCAAATCACCATCGAACCGGTGAGCAAAGCAATAATTAGGAAAATGGATCAAGAGGTAGAAGAAATTAAAGTATCCACAAAACAGTAAATTTAAAAATAAAAAGCAAAACGGATATAAACCATAAGAATGCAACGGCTAGAGAAAATCAAGAAAATGCTGAGAAAAGAGAAGATAATCATACCTTCGAAGTGAGAAATTAATGCGTCTGTTCGATGGCTCCTCACACACACACACACACACACCCCTCCTAAAGCTGACGTAATGCTGCGTTGAGATATTCAAATTATATGTGGGCAAACCCCAAAGTAATTATTATTTATGTTCAACTTCATGTTTTGATCAACTACCACTACAACGAAGAAAACATAAAAAAATAAGGAAAAAAGAAATTTCTCTCAAATTTTCTTTAAAAGAATTGAGTGAGTTAAAATTTGCAGAAAATTGTTCTCTCTCAAAATATTCTTAAAAAATAATCTAAGAAAACAATGTTTCTCACAGACTGATTTGAGAGAATTTCTCTTATCGAAACCATCTGGAGAAAAACTTGTTTCAGAATATTTTCAAGAGACATTTCTATTGGAATATATTAACATTATTTCATGCTTCTCATATATACTCCATCTTGTTTTTTTTTTTTAATTTCATAAATGAATCTTTATTAAAAATAATCTTGTTTGACACATGGTCAAGAAATAAATTTGGACAACTTTCTTAACAAAAATTCAAATCTTAATTTCTTATATTGTAACATTAGACCTAATCGCTATTTGATGCCTACCTCTTGTTTTACTATTGCCTTTAGGGAGAATTATATTAAAATCCAATATAAAAAATTTAATTATTATAAAATTTATTAACTATTGAACTCGATATTTGATGATGTGTTATTAGTTGTTGTGGAGGACAGAATAAACAATGTTATTTAAAGATCTGTGTACTATAATAACCTCATGAAAAGAAGCCTATCTAAAAGAAGAAATAATTGGAAAAACCTAATGATAATTACAACATAAATTCTAAAAATAACATTCAATTATGTCACGTCGTAAAAATTAAATGTAACCAGCACAAGAGATATACACAAACACATATCCTTTAAATCTTGATCAAGAAAATTTTAATTTAAAATCTTAATTCATTTGAAATAAGGTTAGGAAACGTAATAGTATTTCTCATATAAATAAAAAGTTTCTAAAATTTTTGTAAAAATTTTAACAAAATCTTCTTTATAAATGAGACCTCCTAAAATCTCTACAACAACCATTTATAAACAAATCAATAACACGGAGCTTTGCTCCTCTACAACAAACAGTCAATATAAATTTATAGATCAGAATCCTATCTACGGTTAATGTGGAGCACTTAAAATATAATATCAAAATAGAACATATAATTGAATATTTACATCAAAAGAAAAGGAACTTTCAAAAATAAATAGTAACCCAGCACAGTGGTAAGCCTCTCAATGATCGACGGAAGGTTCAGCGTCAACTAATAGATCTAAGACCAAAATATTTTTCAGTGAATAACATCTTAAAAAATTAAATTTAAAAAGGTAAAAATAATAAATTCAACAATTATAAAAAATAGTTAAAAAGGTGATAATTCAAAAAAATAAATTTGTAAATTTTAATCATAATCATGAAATGAGAGTGAACAGAAATTGCTTTTTTCTATCATGCTTGAAGAAAACAAATTATCCATATATAAATCAAAGTAATATACTTACTAACTGAAACTGTTGAAATTCCAAATGCACAAGTTGATTAAAAATTTAAAATTTTGACGACTTGACAGAACAGGTGACAAACGTGAACACACATTCCACAAAGATAAATAACCAAACATGGCTTATGCTACAATATAAACGTGGACACACAGGCCACAAGGGTAATGCTAACCAAATACAGCCGAAGCTATGAAAATAAATATGAATACACAGTTTACAAGGATCAATAACCAAGCGCAACTTGAACTACAAAACAAATGTGGATACACAATCCACAAGAGTAATACAAACTAAACACAGCTTAAACACACAAAAACAAACATGAGTATGAAACCCACAAATAACAAATGCGAGAACAAAGCTCACGAAAATGAAATTAACTAATCATTAATTATGGTGCGCCAAGAGCTAATAGAGTCACCATTAGCAGCAATATTTATTTAAAATCCTTTAAAAATCTGTTTCCAACATGCGAGAAAAATATTACTTTTAAAATATAATTTACATTTTTAATATCCAACTCGCATTGATCATTTTGAATTTTAATTTAATACTTGTTGAAAATAATATTTCATAAATAATGTACAAACTTGCATTAATTAAATAATAAAAAAATTTTAGAGTTTAATCAACAAAATTAATTTCATAAATCTTCAACTTATACTTCTTGAGAAAATAAACGCATATATCATTATCTAATTATCCATCCTTAATATTCCATAATTTCCAAAACTCATGTAATTTATAAGAGTAAAATCTTTCAATAAAAATCTATTAAAAATAAAAATAAATTAAAAAATACTATTCACTTATCTGTAAAATTTTCGAATATATAACTTACTACTAATTGGTCTCTTTGCTACAATGATTTCTCTTCAATCTTAATACCCAAGTAATACCATAGTTAGTTTCTTCTATAGATTTTATTTTTTTTATTTTTTATTTTTTTTTGAACATTACCAATCCAAAATGATTGACGGTGATGATGTAGACATTTTTAAATTCAACCTTTCTCAACACTTATAGATATTTTAAAGACTAATATTTAAATAGCAAATTAGTCCTTGGATTACCAAGTAAAGAAACACTCTTTCAAAACATCTCTATCTCTGATTCTAACTTTCTTTATGAAGAATAACTACCTTCTATAATAATTTTAATTACCAATAATAAAATCATCACATATTTTCCATCATCCAATAAAGTTCTTCCTTTCAAGCATTTTATCTTTATCAAAGTTTAAACACATACCAAGTCTCTTCTTCACTATCCTTTCCAAAATTTCTCAATATTAATATTTGAGCTAATCAAACTTCCATCATCTATTTAAGAGAATTTTCCTCCAATTATTATCTAATTAACAATACAATAATTATCACATATATCTTGTCATCATAAGAATAATTCTCCCAATAAGCACATTATCAAATACCTCACAAGCATAATCCTTAATCCATAATTCCTTCCTACTTTCTCTTTGAATTTCATTTTCCAAAAATTCCACAATCTTAATATTGATTTGAATTCAACTCAAAAGATCAACTCAATCATCATTATTTAAATTTAATAATGCTTCCCAGCTTTAATTCCTTTCCAATAACCAATCTCATCTTAAAGAACACCGATCTCATTTTCCTCTTACAATAACTACAGGAATTCAAGTGAGGCACTTATCTAAAATGAACTCCCTAAACTTTAATTTCAACTTGAAAATTTATCTTTATTTTCTCCACTCCTAAGTTGCAACTGAAATAGAGGGAAGAGAAAAAAAATTCAAACCTCCCTCTTCCCATCACGTGCACACAACAGAAAAGAAAGGAGAAGAAATAAGATTCAACCACACTCATTACATGATCAAAACCGCTGCAGAAGAACAAAGAATGAAGTGGAAGATCAAAACTCCAACGTGCACACTCAGACCAACACGTGGAATCGCAGAACAGGGGAGGAGAGAATTTGCAGCAGCACAAACGAACAAGAGGAGCAGAAATTTCTGCAGCGAGAGATAGTGGAAGGAAGAACGAGATGATGCTGCGATCAGGGATGGAAGAAACATACTCGGACCTCCAACAACAGCTCGGATCTTCACATGCTTGCCACCCTCCATCAGACAGAATGGAGAAGGAAAAAGAAGGGTTCGGTGGCGAGAAACAGAGGAGAAGGAAGAAGCTATGAACTGGGCGACAGCAACGACGCGCGCGCACACAGCAGCTACGTTGAAGACGAAGGAGGAGGAAAGAGACGGAGATGGCATGTGTTTTTTGGTTCAGCTCTCTCTCTCTCTCTCCCCCTCTCCCTCCCTCCCTCCCTCTCGCGAGCGGGCGCGCGCCATCCAGCCAGCCGTAGTTCTGGAAAAAAAATCCAATGGAGAATAAAGAAGCCGTGCTCTCCTGTCTCCCTATCTTTCATTTATTTATTTTAACAGAATAGCATTTTTATAATTCTGCCTTAAGCCAAAGATAAATATCACATTCTTGGCCTCATGACAATTGAAATTTAAGACCTATTAGTTATGTAATTTGCATAAAGTCCATTAGACCACAATTCCCCCTTGACCTCTTATCACTCGAAAAATAATAAAAATACACTTTAAACACCTTCTGATAATTTAATTAATTATTATTATTATTTATTATTATTATTGTTTTTGGGTGATTACATATTCATTTTACATAGTTCATGGAATTTACACAGAGAAAATTTATAAGTTACCCAAATAAAATTTATAATAGACATTTGGTAAATAAAATTCAAAATCCATTTATTTGCAACAAAACATGCGTTTATTTCACATAATTCTCATGGTTCACATAGTCCATTTATTTACATACGGGAACGTTGGGGATTAAGCTAAACGTTTTGCAGAAAAATGTCTATAATATTTCAATCTATTTATGCCAGATTATGAAAGTAAACTTATAAAAGAAAGCGATTAATTGTCACTAATTTATAAAAAGATCCAATTCCTTGTAAAATGTGACTTGCATAAAAAATCAGAGAGGGAGTAATTTATAAGATAAAAACTTTGACGGCTAAGGAAGAAATTAAACGTACTCGAACTTTTCTTGCCTGAAATTATGGAAGCCGATTTTGATACTTTGGTCCGCCACCAACTGCTTGATATTTGTGGTGCCTATCACTGCCAAGTCAGCTTTCTCACAGAACCAAAAATTCATTCATAATAAACAAATTCAAATGCATTAGCCAAGTAGTAAACCACACAAACTAAAATCTATGACCTCCAGTAACAGAGACATCTTGAAGAAGAAGAGACCTTAAAAAGATCCGACTCTATAATATTTTTATTAATTTCTTTTTATAATAATCCTTCCTATTTTGTATACAAATTACCTCTACGTGAGGAAATTAGAAGATATATTTGTACTCAAATTGCCGCTGAATCACTGAACTCCTTCTGCGATCCAGGCATAATAATGTTCCTAATTGTTTAGGAGTAGGAAGACATCCCTTTAGTGATGCACTAGATGAAATATTGAATACGGGAATGGAGTCACGAGGCCGAACTTGGTTCAAGACGCACAACAAATGCACAGAGAGAAGAGAGAGAAAAGAAAGGAAAGAATGAGAGAGTCTTTCTGGAGGATGAGATTGATCCCAGTATCACACAATGTACTCCCCATATATATATATATCTATCTCAGACGCGCATGTGGAGGTTTTATAAAGTTGTTTTCACCAAGGTTCAATTTTGAACAATGGGAATATTGCACACGGAGACCTCTCCATATTATAATAAACCTATATGGGTTTATTTATTAGGCTCAATTTATTAAGAATGGATAACCCAACAAATCCATTCAGTTCTTTCTTTAATCAAATTTCTATGAATGCTAGCTAATTCAATCTATCTTTCTTTCATTACAGTAGTTCAGACAACAAAAAACACTAGAACATAATAGCATTTTACATCTCCATAACTACACCGATTCATGCACATGCCGTGTAGAAATAAGAGGTAGTAATATTTTTGTAAATAAATGGTTTGCTATGTTGATACATACACTGATTCCTTACACAATCAATGTAATAATACATGTCCGGTGTAGATAATATATTTTATTTTTTAAAAAAATATTTTTAATATATTTACACCAGTTATTAAAATAATTGGCATAGTTATATAATATAATTTTTTAAAAAAATTATTATTTAATATATCCAGTTATAAAGAAATAACGGTTTAATTATGTTTTTTAGATCCGTGAACCCTAATCCCCACCCCTTGAAACTTTTTGCCCTCATAATCTCTCTTCTCCCTATCGTCGCTACTTCCTTCCAACTTCAAGATGTTGTCTCGCTGTCTTCAACGTTCAAGCCGAAGCTTCTCCGTGATTGTGTGCTCGCATACTCGAAAGCCGGAGCTTCTTTGTGCTCGCTTGCTTGCCGTCTCTTCTGTGCCATGTCGTGACAAGCTCTTCATCTAGACCTCTCATCAAGTCATGACTAACAAGTTGGGAGGAATGAATCTATCTCTCTGTGCTCGCTCTTTTGTCTCTTATGCTTGGGTTTTTATCGTCGGGTGTTTTCTTCTTCTTCTAGGTTTTTGGAGATTTGTGTCCTTCAAATCCCTAATTTGAGTTTTTTAAATTTTCTTTTTAAATTTTGATTTTGCTGTTTATCTGACCTGTTCCATGCGATTTTGAAATTGTGCAGATGCATCCGGCTTCTCTGAATCCCACTGTTATAACGCAGACCTGCGTTTCACTATGTTTCCTTTCTATTTCTCATCCTCCTACATCCTCGTGAAGTCTCTGGTTTTCTTCTACTTGTTGGTTTCATGATATAAAAACAAAAGAGAAGATTAAAGTGGCATCCAATGCGTTTCAAGAGTTTAAATCTTTGGAATATTGATTAAATCAATATGTTTTGAAGCTACAATCGAAGCATTCTATTTTGAATTCTATTCTCGCCTTTTCAAGAGATTTGTATTATGAATATGTACTTGTATCTTCCTTACTTGAAAGAAAAGCTTCTCTGTATCTGATAATAGTTTTTTGCTTTATTGCTTACCTACAAATGTGTATGTGCATGATAAAAGCCTCTCTTAAACCATGCAGAAAAAATATGCACTATGAAATTGGACTTCTTATGTCATTTTATTCCAATTTAAGATTATGTACTTCAAGGATTCAACACAATGATGCATATACACTGCCTGAAATTATCAACTGTGCTGATCAGAGCTTTTTTATTTATAATTGTGGCACTTAATTCTTGATTATCACTTGTGGAGTTCAGCATCCCTGATCCTAATTGCTTAAATCACTATTGCGAGGTGTATGATGAAGCAATTTCATACTATGCTCAACTAATGGAATGAAACGAAAGAAAAATATAACAAAGAAAGGAAAACAGATCTTTAATCCAGGCCAGTCTATTAGTATTATTATTATTATATGTACCTTGTACTTAATCTTCACTAATAGCTGTTGAATCCTTGGCTATGTTTATCTGGCTTTGCTCATATTATTCTGTAATTTTGCATGTTAGGATAACTGGATTGGGCAGAAAAATCAAATAAATGCTGGTGAGGAAATCTTCTTCCTTTCCTTGTATTATATTACAAGGTTATGAGCTCGTTGATGCTTGTGATATTGAAATTCTATTTCTATTTCAATAGCTACGGCTGCTGCAGAAAATGTGTTGGTTGGGTCTGTGGGTGACATGAATCTACTATAAGCCACACATTTTTAATGTTTACATGTATGGGCTCATATGTTCAAGTTTAATTTATTTTCAAACGAATAGAAACTCAAGGCACATACATTTCATTATTAGATAACTTATGAATAATGCTATATTTTATAAATTTTGGATTAGAATATAGATGGATAAAAATGAATATAGATGGTCTTTTTTGTGTGAAAAGGCTAAGGTGGATTCCTATTTGCTTAATAAGCGTACTAGTGACATACTTTTTAAATTTTGGAATGTGAGTTGCTGGTTTAACAACAATGTTTACGCTGCCGATCAATCTGAAATTGTTTCAAGTCCTAAATGGGTTGCTCCTGTAGGCAATGCTTTAAAAATTAATACTGACTGTGCTTTTAGTGAGAAATTAAACCATGTCTACTGTGTTTGCTGTCAAGGATTGTAACGGGAGGATTTTGCATGGATCGAATGACCTGTGTGTTGTTTCTTCTGGTCGAGGTGGAATTTTTAGCTTTGGAACGGGCATTTGAATTTGCATTTCATAATAAGCTTGATAATGTTTGTTTTGAATTTGATTCAAAAAGCAATAGTCAACTACTTAAATTTAATGTCGACTCATGCTGACTGGAAGTGTCTCTCTTCTTATGAGAACATCCTCTTTATGAATTTGCTTCTACTATTTGCCAGATTAGATATTTATATTAGTCTCCAGTTTCTTGCGTCTTAACAAAATTATTCATATTTTAGTTAATATTGTATGCTTGATATTTAGGTATTTTTTCGATTATAGGTAATTTAAATATGTTATTGTTTAAATAGGGGCCCCTCTCCTATCTAAAAAAATGCCCCTATTTTTTTTTTAAATGTCACATATCTACACCAATTATAATCTATAACCAATGTAGATTTGTGACATTTTTTAAAAAAAGAATAATTCTCATTCTTTGACTATTATCTACACCACTTGACCAACCAGTGTAGCTATGATCAATAGCTATACTGGCTGTATAACCAGTGTAGATATACACAGTATTTCTACATTGATCTTATCTACACCGGTTGTAAAACAAGTGTAGATACCCAATTTTAACTAGTGTAGATATGCACAGTGTTTCTACACCGATCTTATCTACATCGGTTGTGAAACTAATGTAGATACCCAATTTTAACTAGTGCAGATATCCCCTTCTATACTAGTGAAAGCCTACGATGTCATTGTCCTTATGTTGCACTTGGTGCACATAAGCATGCCGCCCTCATGGGAGCATTTCCTGTCATTCTATGCCTCTATGTTGTGGCTAGAATTGTAGAAACTAAAGTGAAGAGCCTTACCGTCCCATTCTTGAAAGGTTTGTTTCCCTCATCGGAGCTCTTGCCGTTTTGCTGCTTCTTTCAACCTTATTAGCGCCATGGCTCGCTATCATTTAACCATCCTATATATGGAGTCTACTTACGGTGAGAGCAGCAATCAGGTCATACCGAGAGATCTTAAAAGCAGTGGCGAACCTGGCAAAAAGTGCATGCAAGACATGTCATAAGCTTCACTTGTTATTTTTTTTCCACTTACTTTAACATTTTGGCCCTTAAGCTTCAACATTGTACTTCTTTGTTCCCCCAATAATGTACGGTCTTGTGTCCGCCATTGCTTGATCCGGTATTCTCAAGTTCAAGTCACTCCATGGAGGACAATGGCAATGGCTTCTCTGTGTAATCTGAAATACAATTTAACTGTGAGACAGAATAGAAAATAGAATATGTGCCAAGTAGGGTTTGCCACTGTGCCTCTCTTTTCACTATTGCTCCAAAATTTATTTCATTCAAACCATATACCATACAAAACCATTATATCTGATTTATGTCCATGTACAGCTCCCTAAAAGAAACTATTTTTATTTATATCTTTCATTTACGTTTTGTCTCCTTAGATTATGCTATTATATACTTTCCCAATCTTATTTATAAGGTGGATAGACAATATTTGTTTTGGTCCCATTTATGCGGCACTTTAATAATTATTGCATGTGTTCATCTTTACCTTTTTACCCTTATTAAATGTTGAAAATGTTATTAAATGCTAAAGTATTTTACTATTAAAATTTAAAGTATGCACTACATTTAAAAGGAGTAAAGTTGGAGGCTTTTTGAATTTTTAGATAGAGTTAATGAGGTTTAAAGTTTTCTTTATTCTACCGGTAAAACATGCCAAAAATTATTTATAAATAAGAGTAGAGAAAGTATATCTTTGTGATTCATTATCTGTTTAATTAATTATTACCTTTTAATTCTCTGATTCTATTGAGTTTTGGCCAACACGCATTAAATTCATCATTTGCTTATGTGTAACTGTAAACACGTACTTTTAAAGCTAGTAAGGTGCAAATGTATTACTTTACTATTACCAACAATAATGAATGCCAGAAGTTATTAAATTGAGAAATGAATTAGCTTGTCTTTCTAATATTCATTTGCTGAATCCGTGTATGATACAAGTTTTCAGTGATTTTAACTTTGTTGCCACATAATCATAAATTTAAATAACAGTACTAAGAGATACTCCCTTTTGTCCTATTTATAAGATGAAGAGAAAATAATTTTTTTGTCCTATTTATAAATCACATCATGAAATTTTTACCACAACTTTTTCTTTTTACCTTCATTGAATGTTAAAGAGAAAGTAAGTTGTTAAAATATGTATATTTAATAAGGATAAGGTAAGAATTTGTCAAATTTTTAGACAGAGTTGATGAATTGTAAAGTTTTTCCTCAATTTCGGTAAAACATGTTAGAAGATATGGCTTATAAATAAGACCAGAAGAGTATAATTTTTTTTCTTTGGAAAGACTTAGGCACTTAATCTGATTTAATATATTTTTATCAAATAAAATGAAGACAAATAATTTTAATGTGTTAATAATATTAATAACAAGAGTTTGTTGTTAAATAAATAATATATAAAAGATTCACATATCTTTTTTTCCTTTTTTTCCCTTTGGAAAAAGGGTTTCACATGTGTGTGTGATAGGCTTTTCTTCTAATTTTGTTTTCAAATTAAAATTCATCTTATCTTGAGAACCCAATTGGGATAAAGCCAACTGAACACCAAATCAGTTGATGATTTATATTGGATGGATGGTTAAAAAAGAAAAAAAAAAAGAGAAATAATTCTCATGTGGAATGTCAAAAATATCCAACCTTTGATTTGAACTCAAGACCATAAAAGCATTCCAAAAACAATCACAAACATCAAGACATGTACGTAACATTCCTAATCAATGAATGCAAATATATTATATAAGATGAACTAATATAATGAACATGGTCCTTAATGACAAGTAATTAACAAGTATCCTTTTAAAATTAACAACTCCTTTATGATAAAACCCAACCAGTAGCAACTAACTTATAATGGTTCACAACATTATTATATGGAATTAACAAGCACTCTTTTAAAATTAACAACTCCTTCTTAGTAGAAAATTGCACTAATGATAAATTCAGATAATGTGCCAAAAATAGTCATTAATAACTAACATATTAAAATTTACAACTTTGTTATGATAAAATAACCAAACATTAACAAGTATCCTTCAAAGTTAATATTCTATTAGGAAGTTGTTAAATTCTGAACAAAATACTTGTTAAGTTATTATGACAAAAATGTAAATTTTATTTAGTTGTTAAAGACTGTGATAAGTACATTTTCCAAATTTGTCAGGGATGCAGTGTTCTATTTTGAGGGTTTGTTAATTTTATAACGGTACTTGTTATAATTTCCTATAATTAATTAATGTTACGAATATTTATAGTTAGTTATTAATGACTATGTTCTATCAAGAAAAAGTTGTTAATTTTAGAAGAGTACTTATAATTCCCTATAATAATGTCATGAATCCTTAATATCTACTTATTAATGACAGTGTTCACTTTTTCAACTTTGTATATATCCAAACTTTATATTAATAAGAATGACTACCATAGTTGTTAAACTCTTGAGTTGATTCTCAAAGTTTAACATTTTTATGTTTTTATCTTACAAAATCATATCAACTCACTCATAAACTCAAATTAGATACAAACACAGTTCAACTCATGAATTTACTTTCCAGCTTACCGTTTTTATATTTTTAACTTACAAAATCGTAATAATTAATTCATAAACTTGAATTAGATGTAAGCTTAGTTAAACTTGTTAAACTCGTCATTTTTTTTTTGAGCTAAGCGAGTTAAGTATATGTTATGAAGAATTTAGTTCATAAAAGTTATAGGACCTGGTTTAAAAAAAAACTTGAAATACAAAAACTAATAATAATAAAAAAAAAATTTGATAAAAAGAGATTTACTAATAATTTGATTGGGACGTTATTCACTTACCTGTAGAATATCCAAGTGTATAACTTACTTTCAATTGGCCTTCTAGTATGATATTTGACCTTTAAATTCCTATCACCCCAGTAATATTATTGTTATTCATTTATAAACTTTATTATTCAAGACTCCAATTCAAAATTCCAAAGAGATATCACAAATAAACCTCAATCTCAGCTTTTCTCAAACATTGTATCAACATTTTGCAAGCATGAATTCTTTAACTAATAAATCTAGTTTCTTTTATCCAAATCTTATCCCAATCATTTTCCATAAATTTTTCAATGTTAATGTATGTTTAAATTAATCAAACTTCTTCTTTAGCATAAATCAACTTTAATATTCAAAGAAAATCATCTTCCAATTTCACATTACTCACAGTAAATAAAAAGAAAGGGAAAAATTCATAATCTTAACCAACAGTTTCTCAACAACCATAGATACTTAGAGAATATTTTCATAATCAAATTCCTTTACTACCTTCAACTTAAACTCAGCTGAATAGTATTTGAGTCAATCATTCCTCTCACCATAATTAATAAAATTTGAGCAAGAAATGTATGATCAAACAAGACTCCTAAGGGCATTTTATCAAACATCTTGCATACATGAATTTTTAAATTTTAATACCCAATTCTTCTCTTCAAATCCCATCCCAAAGTTCTTCCAACAATTCAACAACACCAAGACTCCAATAAATTCAGCTCATCCACACGGTCACAGCCATAGAAATAGAGAAAATGATCATTTAAATTTTTTTTTTTTTGGGTTATAGCAATTTGTCCTTACCCACGCACATATATTCAGCAAAGAGAGACACACACTTAGCAAATTTAATCATCCACTCAGACACTCACGCATAGAATCAGCTCAAGGCTTCTCACGTTAACCTCAATATTGACAGAGACAAGGAAATTCTGGTATGACGCACGAATCAGAAAGAGGAGCAAAGCCAACACAACCAGATCAAAAATCAAAGGACTTACGAGGAGCAACCCAGTGCCAGGATTCAGCTTTCACACCCACCCACGCGAGTGGCGAAGACAGACGAAGATGAGAAGAACAGAGGTGGACCTGAACGTTGCAAGGTGACGATAAGCACCCTCCTTCGCCGGAGACAGTTGGAAAAGGAAGAGAAGGACTTCGGCTGCCATAATTTCTGACGACAGACGAACTAAACAGCAGCTAAGGAGACTAAGCAGAAGGCAATACGAAGCAGGGGAGGGGGGAGAACAGCGATCTGGACCTCCTAGCGACGGCAAACGACAGGCTTACTCACAACCACGCCGGCGACGTTGAAGACGGTGGAGAAAGGAAGGAGAACGAGGAGAAAAGAGCGGAGGATGAAGCTTCTCGATATGTAGATTTCTCTTCATCTCTCTCTGCCTCCAGAACATCCAAAAGAAAAGACTAGGGAAGAAGGAAAAAAAGCTGATGGAGCTGAGGGCATAATGGTAAATTGTTATGGCTAAAATTAGAAAAAAAAATAAAAATAAAACTCTTTCCTTTGCATCAATGATGATCGAAACCCATGACTTGACACAAGGGATATCAATGCCGCTCCCACTCAGCCAACGTATTTTTTTCTTGTTGTTGGTCTAGAAATTAACATGAAGTATGCTTAAAAATATATCTCCATATTTTTATTTTTTTCAGAAATTCATGCGTTACTATAATAATTAAATTTCTAAGTTATTATAGTTTTTTTGAGAGAGTACCAAACAACCTAAATTCATTAAATATAGTGAACAACCTTATTTTTTAAAAAAATAAACTTTTAAAAATACTCTTTATTTAATCTATTGAAAATGAAAAGGGACAAACATTAAATAGAAAAAAAGATTAATACTGAAATAATCTTATTTAATAAAATTTTAGTATACTTAGTGTGTGTTTGGTTTTTAGTTTGCCAAAAGTTTATTTGGTAAAAGTTAGTTTAGTGAAAGTTAATTGTTGTAACGAAATTTATATTTGGATACATTTTTTTTAAAGTCAGTTTGATATACTGAAAGTTGTTTGGTTTGTAATAGTAAAATATATTTTCGAATGTACAATTATAAAAAAAGACATTGATTTATAATGATTTGTAATTTTTATTATACAAATATAATATATTTAAAATATTTTAAAAATGTGATAAAGATTTTAAATAACATAAATTTTGATCTATAATGCTAAAAATTTGATCTCTAGTTATTTATCTTTTTTTTTAATTTTTAATTTTAGAAAATGTGATAAAGATTTGTAATTTTTATTATACATTAATGTCAAAAATTAACATGATTAATTATTCAATTTATAATGCTAAAAACTTAATACCTAATTATTATTATTGAAATAATAATTATATTTTTAATGAATTAACTATTTTTTAAATAAAAGAATAAGATATCAAACTTAGGATAGTATGGTCAAATAATATCTTACTTTTTAAATATACTTTTTAAAAGTTTCAAATAGTTATGTTTTAGAAATTCACTTTCAGCTACTGTTTGAATGTACTTTCAGGATGTGTTTTCCTGCAAAATATTTTACCCAAACAACTTCCAGCTTCTTGAAAGTAAAATTTTGCTTTCTGAATGTAAAAAGCAAAAAAAACCAAACGAGCCCTTAAACTGTCTTAGCATGTTTTGGATAGACGCAAAAATCGATTTTGCAGCCCATAATCAATTTTTTGATTGAAATTACCCAAACACCACAAAATACAAAAATCAATTAAAGAGGCAAAACGTGCGTTAATCCATAATCTATGAAAACCAGCTTCAGCTTTAAATCTTTTTTCCATTATTTACGTGGTCTCTCTCTATGAAAGTTGAAAACCATATTGCCCTTGACGTGCTTTCTCTCTCTTCTTTTTTATCTTCATTTGTCTCATTTTGGTCGCAGCTTTCTCATTTTTGATCTCCTCTCTCGTTCGATCTTCACCGGTCGCTCCTCACAGTGGTGTCGTCTCTTTGCCGTCATCCACCAACCCCTAATGTAGTCACCGTTCGCTGTCTCACCGTCGTGTCGTCTCTGCCGTCGTCCACCCACCTCCAACAGTTGTGCCGTCTCACAATCAGTTCTCACAAAGGCAACGATCTTTCGGCCATCCGCCAACTCTGTGCAGATCTGTGGTCCTCATGGCATCACCCCCTCCATTTGTCGTCTCTGAGTTGTGTCTAGTGGCGATGATCTCCTGCCATAGTCAAGGAAGGCAGTAAGCTTTATCTATACTCTCTTGCCTCAATCTACTCGTGGTCCTCCGTCCGTCGCTGATCTGCTCGTGGTCCTCTTCACTCGGTCCAGCTTAGAGGCAAATGATATTCTCCGACCTTTTTTTGGATGATCTTGGTCAGGTGCAATGTTTGATCTCAGTCATACTCTATTTTCCTCTTCACTCTGATCTATGCATGGATGGATTTGTTCTTGCGATTGCTAGCTTAGTTTTGTGTGGTTTGAACCATTTACAACTCTTGAACATTTGCAAATAATAATATGGGTGAAAGTTGATTTTTCATGATGTTTCTGTGTTACTTTTGTGCCCAGTCAAACTCTGTGCTGAATATGGGAGACCTGTTGAAAGTTAATTTTTTCGCTATTGAAACCTGATTTTAGTCAAAATCTTGTACATTTGCAAATTGTGGGAAAGCTGTTGAAAGTTGGTTTTGTGCCTAGTCAAACCTTTGTTGGTTTTGGTTTGTGTGATCACTGATTATTGGAGCTTTATTCTCAAACAGTATGTTTTGCATATATAGGGGTCATTTAGTCGAATTTTTTGCTGTGTGAGTCTCTGTTGAATTTGGCTCCTCTGAAAATTGCCAAGTTTTTGTTATGTAATATTTTAATTACAATTCCTATAATTAATATGTTAGTTTTTTATATAGTATAATGAGTCACAATAAGTCAAAAGCTTCATGGGATCGAAGAAATACTAGAATATTTATTGACATTTGTTTAGATCAAGCTCGAAAATTGCAAAGAAATAGTGGTAGTTTTACCAAAGCAGGATGGCTCAGCATAATTTCTACCTTCAATGACAGGACTGGACAGAAATATGACAGACAACAATTCAAGAATAAGTGGGATAATATGAGAAAAGAGTGGGTACTGTGGGATAAGTTGGTTTCAAGTGAGACAGGATTGGGTTGGGATTATGCAAACAATACTGTAGATGCTTCAGATGATTGGTGGGAGAAGAAGATATTGGTATGATGTTATTATGTGAGGCTTTATATTTATTTTATTTATTTCTATATTATGTAATATTATTGATAATTTATGTGTAAGAAAATCCATTATACGAGAAATTTAGACATAAAGGATTACCATTTGCCAATGAATTAACCGAGTTGTTCCAAGGTACTATCGCCAATAGACCTAGAGCATGGGCACCTTCAAGTGGAGTTTTGCCTCACATTTACAATAGGAATGAAGGTGAGGATGAAGAGGTGTATCGGCCAGATATGGCAAATGAGGGTATTGATTTCGAGGAAGGTTCAGGAGATAGTGATGAGATCTTAGGAACTACTGGAGTAAGCAGTGAATTTAATAGAGTAGTTTTAAATACTTCTCAAGGAATCTTAAGTGGAGGCAGTGTGGTAAGAGGAAGAGGGGCGAAAGTAGTAACTGTAGAAAGAAGAACAAGTTACCTAGTACAAGTCAAATAGTAGATGCAATGAGTGTGATAGTTCAAACAACAAAGGAAGAATCTCAACAGATCAAGGAAACATCAATTCCTAAAGTCATGTCTATAGTCAAACAATGGGAACAAGTTGCAACTGACAAACATTGGGTTTCACAATGCATGTCACTCTTTATGTCCAGAGAGGCTAGGGTGATGTTTTTGACAATGAAGGATGATAAAGAAAGTGTTTTAGAGTGGTTGGGATATGAATGTTATAAAAATGGTTGATTATTAGAGTTTTAAAACTTATTATGAGCATATGATCTTATTTAAAGAGCAGTCTAACATGTTTGTATTATATTGTTGAATTTAACTTATGTAGCCTCTTGAACTACTTATGTACTTTTTATATATGGTAATCAAGTATTACAATGTTGTGGAAAAGTTATTAGTATTTCTATAGATGACTTATTTAGATATATCTATAATTGAAATTAAGTGTATGTATTATTTATGTGTTTGCTATAGATAGCAAGACATATGGAAGAGTCGTCTAAAAAAAGGTTAAAGAGAGCCCAAAAAGTTAGTGCTCTCATTAGGTTGTATGCAACAAAATATTTGTGCAAAGAGCCACAAAGAAATAGTGAATATACAAGTCATTTGTGGGTGAATGAAATTTTAGACGGACACCTAGTTCATTGCTATGAAATGTTTAGAATGGAACCACATGTGTTTCATCAATTATGCAGTGAATTGACACAGCATGGATTGAAGGATACTAGGCAAATGAGAGTACAGGAGATGGTTGCAATTTTTTTAAATACAATTGGACATGGGTTTGGAAATAAGATAGCATAAGAAAGATTTCAACATTCAAGAGAGACCATTCACAGACATTTTCATGAAGTTTTAATGGCTTGCTCAAAACTTGCAATGGAATATATCAAACCACAAGATAGGTCCTTTCATCATATATCAAACAAAATAGAAAATGATAAACGATATTGGCCATTCTTTAAAAATTCCATTGGAGCAATTGATGGCACATATATTCCATGTGTAGTCTCTGCTAGTGAAAAATCAAAATATATTAGAAGAAAAGGAATCCGTACGCAAAATGTAATGGTTGTGTGATTGGGACATGTGCTTTACTTTTGTCTTGGCTGGATGGGAGGGTACTGCACATGATGCTCGCATTTTTCAACATGCCCTGACAACTCGATCCATAAACTTTCCACATCCGCCTTCAGGTATATTTGTTTGTTCAATTTATTTGTGTTAGACTTTCCAGCTTACAGGCATTAATAGTAATCTTTTTTTTTACAAGGTAAATATTATTTGGTAGATGCTAGCTATCCAACACCAAATGGATATCTTAGTCCGTATAAACGAGAACGCTACCATCTTCCTGATTTTAAAAGATCAACTGGATTTACAAATAATAACGAGGTCTTTAATTATTTTCATTCAAGTTTACAGTGCACAATAGAAAGAATATTTGGAGTTTGGAAGAACAGGTTTGCAATTTTACGCAACATGCCGAGCTATGACTATAATATACAAGTTCAAATTGTTGTTGTATCATTGGCGATACATAATTTCATTAGAAAACACTCTAACTCTGATGCTAATTTTATGCGTCATGAGAAGGAAGATCAGGAAGACCATGAGGATTAAGAAGACCATGATGTTGATGAATATTCATCCGTGACATCTTCTTCATCAGCTATGACTAGTATTCGTGATATTATTAGGGACC